GCGAGAGCTTTATGCGCATGCGTCAGCTGACGTCACAGCTTGCTGCCAATGCCGTACCTAGCCGGTACACGCAATGGTGACTGATGAGGGCACCTTAATGATTCTACATAACTTTTCAAAAATTCTTATAATTGCACTGTAAACTATGAATGTATAGGTTGAGTTAGATTACATTAGGCTGGGTTAGGTTAGTTATATATATGTTAGTTATAACGCTGATCTGCGCGCTACTTAAAAGTAGTTTAAGCCATGCTATCAGACCGACGAGCTAGTCCTTACAGCATTGAAGTGGAGGAAGGATCTCTGCGTTCTATTTAATCAACGTAAGTCCTATTTTTTAATATTACACATATATTTAGTCACAACAATTGTACATTATAAATAGTTATTTAATTTATTATTTTTATAATTAACATTTTCTGTTTACTAATGATCTAACCTTCACGTAACAATATTATTAAATCGTGCAACAACAATAAATATGTTATTATAAATGCTTTTATTTTTCAGTTCCAAAATTGAATGTACACACAATCTGCCTCGATCTTCGACAAAGAATTAAACCAATAAAGACTTGCATAAATTAAAAATTGTATAAAATATATTTGCAAATAGTATCTTTATGAAGTTACAATAAATAAATAAAAGAAATCATGTACTTATTTACAATCCTTTCCATTACATTCTTAAACATAACAGACAATCAACAGGTTAGGTCAGCCTTACGGTAAGGTTATATTCGGTTAGGTCAGGATCCAAGGTTAGGTTATATTAGGTTAGGTCAGGAGATCATGTTAGGACAGGGACTAAGGTAAGGTTGTATCAGGTTAGGTCTGGAGACCTAACATATATCATTCCCCATGTTACTATTACTATTACCGTGGAACTATAATTATTAACCTTACTACTCTTATTATTATCAATTTAACTGATATCACTACCCATATTACTACTTTTATTATCGATACAACTATTACTATTATGCTTATTATTCTTATTATTATTAATATTATTACCCATATTACGACTACTATCATCGCTGGAACCGTAATTATCCTTACTACTCATATTATTATCAATATTATCACGCATATTACTACTTTTATCATCATTATGCTTATTATTCTTATTATTAACAATATTATTACGTATATTACGACTATTATCATCGCTGGAACCGTAATTATCCTTACTACTCTTATTAATATCAATATTATTACGCATATTACTACTTTTATTATCATTATCCTTATTATTCTTATTGTTATCAATATTATTACGCATATTACTACTTTTATCATCATTATCCTTATTATTCTTATTATTATCAATACTATTCCGCATATTACGACTACTATCATCGCTGGAAACGTAATTATCCTTACTACTCTTATTATTATCAATATTATTACACATATTACTACTTTTATCAACATTATCCTTATTATATATATTATTATCAATATTATTACGCATATTACTACTTTTATCATCATTATCCTTATTATTCTTATTATTATCAATACTATTACGCATATTACGACTACTATCATCGCTGGAACCGTAATTATCCCTACTACTCTTATTATTATCAATATTATTACACATATTACTACTTTTATTATCATTATCATTATTATTCTTATTGTTATCAATATTATTACGCATATTACTACTTTTATCATCATTATCCTTATTATTCTTATTATTATCAATACTATTACGCATATTACGACTACTATCATCGCTGGAACCGTAATTATCCCTACTACTCTTATTATTATCAATATTATTACACATATTACTACTTTTATTATCATTATCATTATTATTCTTATTGTTATCAATATTATTACGCATATTACTACTTTTATCATCATTATCCTTATTATTCTTATTATTATCAATACTATTACGCATATTACGACTACTATCATCGCTGGAACCGTAATTATCCCTACTACTCTTATTATTATCAATATTATTACACATATTACTACTTTTATTATCATTATCATTATTATTCTTATTGTTATCAATATTATTACGCATATTACTACTTTTATCATCATTATCCTTATTATTCTTATTATTATCAATACTATTACGCATATTACGACTACTATCATCGCTGGAACCGTAATTATCCCTACTACTCTTATTATTATCAATATTATTACACATATTACTACTTTTATTATCATTATCATTATTATTCTTATTGTTATCAATATTATTACGCATATTACTACTTTTATCATCATTATCCTTATTATTCTTATTATTATCAATACTATTACGCATATTACGACTACTATCATCGCTGGAACCGTAATTATCCCTACTACTCTTATTATTATCAATATTATTACACATATTACTACTTTTATTATCATTATCATTATTATTCTTATTGTTATCAATATTATTACGCATATTACTACTTTTATCATCATTATCCTTATTATTCTTATTATTATCAATACTATTACGCATATTACGACTACTATCATCGCTGGAACCGTAATTATCCCTACTACTCTTATTATTATCAATATTATTACACATATTACTACTTTTATTATCATTATCATTATTATTCTTATTGTTATCAATATTATTACGCATATTACTACTTTTATCATCATTATCCTTATTATTCTTATTATTATCAATACTATTACGCATATTACGACTACTATCATCGCTGGAACCGTAATTATCCCTACTACTCTTATTATTATCAATATTATTACACATATTACTACTTTTATTATCATTATCATTATTATTCTTATTGTTATCAATATTATTACGCATATTACTACTTTTATCATCATTATCCTTATTATTCTTATTATTATCAATACTATTACGCATATTACGACTACTATCATCGCTGGAACCGTAATTATCCCTACTACTCTTATTATTATCAATATTATTACACATATTACTACTTTTATTATCATTATCATTATTATTCTTATTGTTATCAATATTATTACGCATATTACTACTTTTATCATCATTATCCTTATTATTCTTATTATTATCAATACTATTACGCATATTACGACTACTATCATCGCTGGAACCGTAATTATCCCTACTACTCTTATTATTATCAATATTATTACACATATTACTACTTTTATTATCATTATCATTATTATTCTTATTGTTATCAATATTATTACGCATATTACTACTTTTATCATCATTATCCTTATTATTCTTATTATTATCAATATTATTACGCATATCACGACTATTATCATCACTGGAACTATAATTATCTTTACTACTCTTATTATTACCAATATAACCCATATTTTTACGCATATAACTATTGTTATAATAGTTAGATCTATTATTATCATATTAATCGCTCTTATTATTATCAATTTAACCAATATCACTATCAATATTGCTACTTCTATTATCGCTTAACTATTGTTAGTAGGAATAATCTATTTTTAATATAAATAATCCTTATTACACGTATTACAATGTGTGGAACTATAATTAGTATTCCTACTACTGTTAGTACCATCAGTCACGACCCAAAGATAAGTTTTATTGGGTTAGGTTAGTTCCTAAGGTTAGGTTATATTAGGTTAGGTCTGGGCCAAAGGTTAGGTTATATTAGGTTAGGTCTAGGCCTGAAAAAAAGTTATTCTGACTTGTGTCAAAGATATGGTTCTAATAGAGCTATT